GAAAATAATTTCAGAAAATTTACATATGTTATGTGATCCAAGGGGGAGAAATACAAAACCAAAACTCACCGAGTTCATGTCTGGCTGTATCACTGACTTACTGTCTTTATGAATCAAAACCATCTTTCCAAATTCCTTTGATTTCTTCAATTGTAAGGTGACAGTTTAGGACCAGGTGATCCTCTGCCATTTTTTTTACCTTAGAAATCGATGATTCACACATGTAGACAAGTAGAAGCCACTACTGGTTCACTGCACTGCTACTAATGATCTGTTCTTTGCCCAGAATACCTAAATTTCTACCTAAGCCCTGACACTAAGCAGCGAAATAATAACAGGCCAGTAGTTTAGTCCTCTTTCGCTTTAGTTTCTTTGTCAGGAAGAGAGGTAATAAAAGTATCTTTGCCTAGTGTGAGAATTAAACATTAACAGGAAGCACACAGAAGAGAACCAAGAAGTGTTACAATGCCTTGTATTTGTAGCACCACACTCTGACTCCCCCTTCCCCTGAAATCCTTAAACACTACAGATGAAAAATTATGTAATTTTCCTATGACTCAACTGGAGAGGAACTATTCTGCTCTACTTAATTTTGAGTAATGAAACAGTGCAGCTTTGAATTCCGCACATAAAATGATGGTCTTCATATAAATAAGTGGGTGAACTGTCTTCCTCTATTAAACTACTTACTGAAACAGCCAAGGTTTCCAAACAGCTTCCCCGTGGGATAAAGAAGGCTTTTCTGAAAGGAAGCTTTCTGGAACCACGTTAAACTCCTGAGGTAAGGGAATGCTTATTGCTGAAAAGCTGTTTGTCTGCCGTTCGTGCATGGAAACCCTCACACGACAGGCTGGGGTAACTATGAAAATAAATCCAGTGACCCTTGGCCATCTTGCGGAGAACCGAGAGAATATGACTGAATAGGATTCTGTCACCCTCTAAAGTGGTATTTTATCCATTAGGCTGACTGCATCCCAAATATGTCTTGGGAGCTTTTCTGGGGGAAAAGGAGAACACTCACTAAGCAGAGCTTTAATTCTTCCTCTACCTGCACAGGATAAACACAGGGAGGCTGTGTCAGTGGTTCTCACATTGTGTACTTAATAATCATCTGAGGAGCCTGATAAAATTCAGATTTCTGTCCCCCAGCTCCAGAGATCAGTTGTATCTGGTTTTAATATATTTCTCAGGTCATTCTGATACTTAACGGCTCCCAGATAAAATTCTGAGAAACACGACAAATAATCCTCAGACATTAACACTTTACATTTGTAATATGCCTGTTATATAAGGAAAAAAAAGACCTTCCAGACACCTCACCTCACATTTCCAACCACAGTCCACCAGCAGAGACAAAAAGGCCATGTATTTTTCACAAGAAAGAAAAAGGTTTTTTTTTTCCTTTCTGAAATATACATTACATGATGAAACTCCTCAGAAAACAAAGGTAAAAGGCTCAATATACTCTTTAGAAGACAAGTAAAAAAAAAGATTTCAGCATTTCAAATTACTATAGTTAATATAATTTCACACTTCCTACTGCTAGAAGTTTAAGAAAAGAAACGCAGTCACAGTATAATTTAGAAACATGGATGAACTAATCCTTCTGTTCTCACAGCTAAATTATGGTCTAGGCTAAAACAACATACAGATGAGAACTTGGCAGAATGTTGACCTTTATCAACCACCAGCTGACTGACTGATTTACCTACAGCTCAGAGTAAGCACTGCTTCCAGCAGAGTGGTCTAAGGAACACCGGGGCCAGAATCACATGGATAAGAATGTATCTTAACCCTATTCCACAACCACTGAGACAGAATCTGAGGGTTTATGTCACAGGATTTTATGTTTTGACATGTTCCCTATGCAACACATCATAAGCTCACCAAGTAAAGTTTGAGAATCAGAGGTGAAGAGAGAGTAGAAGGAGTTATTAGTAATAGAGCAATGAAGACAGCAGTACAACACCCTTATCTGTATTAGTAAATGCCATTCCTTGGACTGACTTTATTTGCAAATTCTGACAACAATGTAATAAATGCCATCACACGCCTATTAGAATGACTGAAAACAAACAAACCAACTGAGAACCATCAAATGTAGATGAGAATGCAGAGCAGCATCACCACAGTTGCTGGTGGGAAGGCAAAATGGCACAACCACTTTAAAAGACAGTTTGGTGGTTTCTTACAAACCTAAGCATGATCTTACCATACAACAGAGCAAGTGTACTCCGTGGTATTTACCTGAAGGAGCTGAAAACATATCCACACAAAAATCTGCATGTGGATATATACAACAATATTATTCATAAATGCCCCAGCTAGAAGCAACCAAGATGCATTTTAATAAGTGGATGGAAAAACAAAATTATGGCACATTCGTAACCATGAATGATAAATGAATGATAACAAAGGAACTATCAAATCATGGAAAGATCTGGAGGAACCTTAAGTGCAGCTTGAAAGCCAGTTTGAAAAGGCTCCATATTATACCATAAGATTCCAATTATACAATGCTTTGGAAAAGCCAAATCTATGGAGATAGTAATCAGTGCTTGTCAGAGATCAGGAGGAGAGAAGATGGACAGGTGAGAGCACAAGACATTTCAAGGACTGGGAAATCACTTTGTATGAATGATCCATGTCATTATGCATTTGTGAAAACCCACAGAACTACAAACATCACAATGAGTGAGTCTTAATGAAAATATGGATTATAGTTAATAATCATGTGCAAATGTTGGTTCATTAACTGTAACAAAAAGCAAACCCCAACACTGTTTCCATCACTGTGGTGGAGGATGTGACACTAACACTTTGTACTCTTATCCATGTGATTCTGGCCCTGGTGTTCCTCGGACCACTCCCAGAAACAGTGGTTACAACTGCACTGTAGGTAAACTCTGTTCATCAGCTTGTGGTTAATAAAGATCAGCATTTTGCCAATTCCATTCAGTGAATTATAAAACATAAAGCAATATGTTAATAGAAGAAACTATGTGTGTGGGATACATAGTATATGAAACTTGGTGTATTATCTGGTCAATTATTCTGTAAGTTTGTACTAAACGATAAGAATCTATTAATTATTTTGAAAATAATAATAAAAAATAAAACAAAGTCACAAGCTAGCAACCGCACAGCATCAGCTGGCTGGACTTAAGGGAAAGGCTCCGCACGCCACCTGCACTCTGTCATGTCCCGACAGCTGGCCAGAGACAACAATCCCTGTGACTGAGGGGGAAACAGGGGCGCCCACATAACACATCAGAACACATCGAGCAGAGCAGACCTGCGGTGGAGACACGGGGCCCGCATGCTGACAACACATCTCCAGAACACTCTCCTCCAGGGTCAGAGCAGCACACTGCAAGGCTGGCCCACAGCCTGGGAAGCAACAGCCCACATCTCTGCTCCCCTCCACTCTCTCTCCTGAGAGTGGGCAGCTCGAAATGGCCTTGATTCCCAGGAAGACCACTGTTCAAGCGACCCCAGGACCAAGCCCAGCCCCTGGTCTCCTGCTACTGTAGTCCAAAGAAAGCAAGTGACCAGTCTAAGACTGTTAAGAGAGGAAGTAATAGCAAGACTAAAACACAACTGTCATTTAAAAGCCAAATTTACTTTTTTATCCTGTTGGGCCCCTACCATTTATAGCTCATTTCCATGAATGTGAAGAATTGATCCCTTGATAAGATAAGGGATCCCTTATCCCTTAATAAGATCCCTTAATAAAAAGCTGGTTAAGACCAGTTTTCCATTTAGCTTTATATTTAATCAGAAGCACCAATTATTAATAGCAATTAAGAAATCAGCACAGCTAAAGTAGAACTACAATTAATACATGTGAGAAAATTTGTGGGTAACAAAGATACAAGGTTAATCAATTTGGTGTTAATTTGGTGTTAACAAATTAAATTGTCATGAATGCTTTATAACAAATTGAGGTGTAAATCAAATCAAGTTTTATTTGAATTATGTACATTTAAAAATCAACATTTATTGAGTGAGAAATATGCATCAAGTCTGCTCTAGGTACTTTACATATTTTATCCTCACATATTTAATCTTCTCGATAATCTTAAGAGATTAACAACAATCCTACAATTCCCATTTTACAAATGGAGAAACTGAAGTACAGAAAAGTAAAGCAACTTGCTGAAAATAGCACAAGATTAAAACCCAAGAGATATAGCACCAGAACCCATGTTCTTAGCCACCATGCTGTCCTGTTTTAAACTGTATGATTTTTTTTCATAAAATACGTTTTATAGAAACCTAATAGTTTTTATATGTATATAAAGCTGTATTTATATAACAGCCATTAACATTTCCAACTGTACAGCATGAGCATTTAATCTACCCAGCATTTTAGGAACATTGTTATAAATAGGCAACTAAAACCCACGAGTTATATACTAAGGATACAATTTTAAGGCATTTTTAGATGTTCTTCTAGTGATAGTTTTAAAAGATAAAAGGAAACTTTTCTATCCTGTGGAAATTAGTGACAGTCAATCTAAGAGATGCTGTTGTCAGGTCTCAAATTACTTAGGCATATAAGGAAAAAGAAAGAGCCAGCCTTAGATGCTGCTGTTATTCAGCTATTAACACACTGTTTACATTAACAGTTATAATGCATTAAAAGACACTGATCAAACTGACTTAACTAGAGGGAAAACATATGTGATTCATGATTTTAAACCACTATGAAAAGTGAGCCAGAGTTACAGGCCCGATAATCTAAAAGAGGTCAGCAGGCAGGTGGCTCTGCTCACACTTCAGCTATTCCACCATGTGGGACAGAAGAGGAGATCTTCTTCCACAGCAGTAACTAGAAAAGGAAACCCAAGTCTAACGTCATCTACATTTTTTTTTTCACCACTGCAGGCAAAATTTCTGATAACAAAGTCCACTGCCAGCATACCACTGTAAACAGAACTATTACCAAAAGAGAACATGTTCTTTGAATTTTTCTCACCGAATTCTTTGTTGCCTACCTGAAATCCATGCTTGCCTCTCCACCATGTACTTAACACTTTGGGGGGCATGTCAATAACAGAAACAATGTCTCCCACCTAGGAGAAAACATTTTAAGTGAAATGTTTTTAATCAAATTGTAAAGCAATCGTCTGCCTAGAATTTAAATCTAAACTGTTAAACTTTAAATCTGAACTGTATCTTATTCTCTGGCTCATTATTTCTAGAAAAACATTATATTTCTTTCTGTAAAGAATTTAATAATCTTAACCATTTGTTAAGAAGAGGTTTATAAAAAGTTAAGCAGCACAAAGACTGTGGTCCAAGTAACGTGTAGTAACTTCAGAAAGCCTGATTGACAAGTTAAAAAACTATTACTGCTGCTACTAAAGGTAATCAGATTCACTTATAAAAGGAAATTTTAAATTACCATATTTAGAACAACAACAGCTTCTATTAATACACTCAGTGAGCTGCCTGCCATGTGCCAGGCACTGGGCTGAGTAATTCATGTATCTTATTTCATTATATAGGAACGCTCTAAGATGTCTACAATTACTGGGTTATTCTTAGTACATGTAAAATTGAATGACAGCTACATTTCTTTCAAAAGGCAGTTCAATATAACATTCCCACTGAACAGCTGACTTTGTTCACCCTAAAAGACAAACTAATGAGTTTATACAAACTTTTACTAAATCCTAAGTATAAAAATAGCAAGAATAGTTTTTAATAATATACTTAAAGGAAGTTGTATTCTTCAATCAAAATAAGTGATGATCTCTGTGATAAACCAGTTAGGCACTGCAGAACAATGTTGCTAGTGTACACAATATTGCTTCACGAATTTTTACGGTATATTCATGACTAATTTTTCCAGTCATGAACATCCTCTTCACAAAACCATATTTGCTAACAGACACGGTATCTTTCAAGATCAAGGATTCTTTGTGTATAGAGCTAAAAATTTAGTTGAGAACTATTTGAATTCTGTACAGTAAAAATGTACACTTTTTTCCTCTTAAATTGAATAACTGCCAGCATTTTCTTTTGTTCTCTCATCAGCCAGTATTAACAGAAGAAACTCAAATCCCCTTTTTTTGTATCTGATAGCAAGAAATGTTCATTTCACTTTTCATCTGGTCTTTACCTCACAAAGAGAAAAAGTATCACTGGGTATTGTTTTTAGGTGCCAAAAAAAAAATACAAAAGACAAGAAGATCTGGCTTTCAAGAAGCTCATAGAGACAAACAGGAGAACAACTCTGGTTGAATGTAATAAGTGACTCTCAGAGATAAGCCTTGAGAACAGCTCAGAATGACATTCAGTGCAGGCTCTGGGCAGGAGTTAGGGGGGCGGTGGGGGTGGGGGGAGAAGTGGGGTATGTATTTCTTGGAGTAGAAGGAAGAAAATCAGGGAGACTTCCTAGAAGAAATGGGGGACATTTAAGCTGAATTTTTAAGAATGAGTATAGTCATTAGAATAAAAATAGATGGCATGCCAGGCTGAAAGGCAATAATGGGCAGAAACACCTGGTGCTTTTTGTTAAGTAAATGACTGACACAAAGATGAGGCTAGAAAGGCAGCAGGGACTGAGCTAACACAGAGTATCTTTGGTCACTTACCTCTAAGGTCAATTCATCTGGGGCCCGAGCAGTGTACCTCTTGATAACATGGGCAGCACCAACAGCAGGAGTGTTAATAGAGGATTCTTCATGAACTAGAAGGTGATTTCCCTTATTATCAATCTAGAACAAAGAAAATATACTATGAGATGGTTAAAGACATGGGACTTGCAAGTTTCTTGGTGTATCTATATAACTCAACTCGATTTAGAAAAACTATAACCCAAAGAATCTTAAAAGGAAAAAAACCCCACTTACTGACTACTTACTATATACCAGTCATTGTATTGTATATATATTATATATATAATTGAATCTTCACAACTTTAAAAGATACTTATCATCATTATCAGTACCTAACAATGAAGATGCTAAAGCCAAAGAGATTATGTAAATTACAGAAGATTAAATAATTTGTCCCAGATCATACAGTCAATTATGAAGAAACAAGATCTCAACACAAGTTGTACTGGCTCTAAGTTCTATATTCTTTCTACTTTTCATCATCTTCCCAATTTTCACTTAGAAAATAAAGTAACTTTACCTATGCAAATTAAAGAAAAAAATCTAACATACTGACTGGATACTCTATCACTCAAGACATTCTTAAATCAGATCCTTTAAAAGGATTTAATTGTCTCCTGTTTCTAAATGACTAAAAACTATTTTCATTACTAAGTCAATTAAATATACACACACACACACACACACACACACACACACCTTGCTAAATGTATAAACATTAATATATTGAACACCAAAACAACAGGTGTCATTCTGATTCATAAAATAATATTAAAACTAGCTTCCTGGATTATCAAAAAAGACTTGAGATAAAAATATTTAATGTACCACCTCTATCTTCCAGAAGACATGAATAAGCCCCACTTATTCGATTCCTAAAACTCAATAGCTATCAAAATTCACATGGGATTTCTTTCGTAGGTAATTAACTCTAATAAAGAGTGAACTAGATTAATACCTCCATCCAAGTAAGGGCAGGTCCACAGTTGATCTTGTTCCCAGCAATAGCTGAAAGGCGGGACAGGTAAGCCATAAGCATCTGAGTGACCGACTAAAGAAAAAGAGAAGATTCAGTGGTAACAGCTTCTCACTGCTAAAGAAACTGGTGTAAACTGGTTGTTTCTGGGAGAAAAAAATCTGCAGATTTTCAGGCATTTTCATAGTCACAGAGGTTCTTCACAGAGGCTTCACAGCTCCATGAACTGACACTACAGGCATTTAACATAATTTCCTATCTGTTGCATAATTCCCTTTCACTCTGGCCCCTCATCATCAGGGGTCATATAGCTTCTAATTTGGTTGCCTTCTCTTTCTATTTTTGTACTGAAAATGTAAAATGATAGCACAGACATAATTACTTTCCTTCCCAGCTTCTCCCCACTACTCTGAAACTTTCTCCAAGGCCCGCTGCAGGCCTCGCCCACCCAGCCATGGCAGGACAGTTCATGCGTGGTCCTCCACCTCAAGTCAGCTGATGGTCCAGGCACGGGACCCAGCCATAGCCTAACAGGAGCTTCTGCAGGAAGCAGGAACTCCTAATTTCAGCTCCGTGTGGCTGCTGTTTTACCCAAGAACCCGGTACCTCTTGGGAGCAGTCATGTTCTGAGACAGTCTGAGAAAGAAACACCAACAGACAGAGAAGGGAAATGGAGGCAGAGAGACATCCAGGTTCCCTATCATATGACAGAGACTGTGGTTTCAGGACATTTCTGAGGCTTTGCCACAGTGGCAGTTCTTGCATGACTGGAGCCTCTGCTTTGCCTCCACTATGTAACTGCCCAGGAATTAATTACAGATTTGGAAGGGTTTTCCCCTCAGGACTTGCACTATTCTCAAGCAGCCATTGTGGCTGCTAAGCAGTCTAATGCCAATACATTCCTTGTTCCTTTGAGAAAAATCTCCTTTTTGCTCTCTGGAGGCTTTTTGGGTTTCCTCTCTGCTTCTGGCATTTTGAAATTTTACAATGTTTCTAGCTGTTATTATATTTAACACTTAAGGGACTGATTTAATCTGAAAACAGGCTCTTTTTTAATTTAGGGAAACATTATGTTTTTGGAGAATGAAATGGCAACCCACTCCACTATTATTGCCTGGAAAATCCCATGGACAGAGGAGCCTGGCAGGCTACAGTCCATGGGGTCGCAAGAGTCAAACATGACTTAGTGACTAAATCACCACCACCATTATGTTTTTAGCCACTTCCATCCACTCTCTCCTCCTATAACAACTTCTATAAAGCAGCAGGAACAGGAAGGAGCTTCTGGATCTGCTCTCTGGGACTCTTGACTGTTCTCTCACAACTTTTTATCCCCTTGGGGCTGCGTTCTTACAGAGTTTGCCCTTCCTGCTCACTAATTCTCTCTTCGTCTAAGTCCATTTTGCATGTCGTCTGGCTATTAATGCTTGTTATTATTAAAATTAACTTAAATGACCATATGTTCATTTCTAAGAGCTTTGATTATTTTATTTTTATAAACTCTATCCTTATTCCATGAATGTGACTGACTTGCTTTCTCTCAGGATGATAATCACGCTTCCGAAAGCCCTCTGTTGGCTCTTCCGTTACTTCTTTTATTCCAGTTTTTACACTGAAGATTTCTAGTTTACCTGTTCCTCTGCAGTCCTCCTGCAGAAGTTGCTCAAACTGTATTATCTTACCCCCATAAATCTTATCCTGCCCACTCTCCAAGATTCCTCACAATTTGGGACTCCCTGATGGCTATATTCATTTTCTAATGTTATAAAACAATCTCCTTCCTCCTAAATTTAAAAAAAAAAAACTCTCTTATACTTTGACTAGAAAATTTTGACAGGCAAGGAAATAAGTACATGGACACAGCCTGCCATCATAAACTGAATAAACAGCATTGTTTGAATATGCATGTCTTTGATTACTAGTGAGGTCAACATTTTTCCATATTTTTGCTTCTACAGTTTATATTCTCTCTGAAAAATGATCTGCTCACATATATCACCTACTTGTATATTAAGACACGAGTTTTTCTAAAATTATACAACAAACCTATTTTAAATATCCTAAAATATTACTAATTTTTCTACTATTTTAATAAATAAATAATCCCACAAATCTTCCTGAGTCCTCAAAATAAGCTTTTACTTAGTATACTAGCAAAACTTTTCTGCTGATTTACATAATAGTGATTACTTCTGCAAAGTACTAAATGCTCACCTCTGGACTATCCTTCAGAGCATCAGAACGGGGAAGCTCTGAGAGCTGGGAGAATCGTCGGTCATAAATACACAGATGAAGATGTTTATCAAGTACCCGAAAATCTTCATAACTTCTTTTAACAATCCAACTTTTGCCCTACGAGTAAGAAAAAAAAGACCACTATAATTTGTCTCTATTGGGAGTGGTCATGTACCAGGCTTTATTCCATAATGATAGGTTATTCATGAGATTTTATATTTACTAATTAATTTGACAGTAAACAGTTAAACTCTGAAACCCTCTAATGAGTTGTACAACATTAAAGCATTAATAATGGAAAATAAGCTAGAACTGTCCACTAAGCCTCCTCTTAACGACTGGTCAAGCCCACTGGTTCTCCCTGGGAATAATAACTGGTAGAAGGAAGATAGCATGTGATCTTAAACCCACAGAAAGAACCATTAAATGATTTTGTGTGGAAGACTACCACCAAAAATTAAAGAAAAATAAAATTGGGTTACTGATCAGTTACCATGAACATTTTCTGTGACCGACACTAGAAATGCACTGACAATCAACACTGCTAAAATCTCATCTGCAAGCCTTCAGGGTGCTTATCGTATCTAGAACCCCCTGTATCTTCCCACTTTTCGGTCCTTCTTCCTTTCCTTGCCTAAACTCTAAGAGATATGAAAATTTAGTCACAGAACATATTTATCACATACTGTCTTCTAATTTTCTCTCAAATCCATCACTTCATAGCCTGAGCTTTAGTGAGGACCCACAACACTTCTGACCTCCTTGCCTCTGGTCTCCTCCTCCACTCCCCTCCCCTAATAAGAAATACAGAGCTTGTCAGGTCACACTGACAGAAGGCCTTCAAAAGCTCCCGTGGGCGATAGTGATGAATTGGTCTCCACTACACACCATTTGGTTTGACAATTTAATTTTTATGTGGGGGCTTTAGTCTCATAAGAATTTGGAGGAACTGGGAGAAAAAGCAACCATCTCAGAAATGAAGAAAAATCTCTAATGTAGTTCTTTTCCATTTGCCTCCGTCAGATGGGGCAGAAGCAGAAGGTACCACTTCACAGGCGAGAGGCTGAATTCTAAACACAGGTATTGCCCATAACTAACAGGATAAATATGCCTAATCCTACTTTGGACTGCAATCCTCCATTACACAGAGAGCAATACCACCTCCCTCTTTCAGAGGGGGTTGTTAGAATGAAATAAGAGAACAGATGTGGCAGAAAATTTAAAGAACAGTCCCTGGGTCCCAATTCTAAGAAATGCTAGTTCAGTAACTCTGGAATGGGATCGTTAATCTGATGATCAGCCTGATTTGGGAACCACTGATCAATCAAATCCAAACATACTTGCACATATGAGGACTTGCATCAGCTGGGTCTGTCTAAATCTACAGTGTGATCCCACTCACTACTCCTCCATGCTCTTTCTTTGCTTTCAGTTATGCTCAAGTACTTGCATTTATTCCATTTGTAAAATGTTCCTTTTCTTGCCTACACGATTTTTAAGTGCTGTTCTTCTACTATGCAGAGTCCTTCTTTTACTCTTTGCTCAAGTAAGCTCCTTTGTTTTCTCACTTCTGTAGCTGCCATCTACCCAAAGCACTTCTGAGTCACAACAGTGGGTTAAATACTTGTTCCTTTGGGATGGCAAAAATAAGAAATAAATAAAAATGAACAATAAGGCATAGAAAAAGAAAAACAACTTATTGCATAGTTACAAATATTTTTTCTTTCACACATATATTTCAAAAATTATGCAACCCTTCAAATATCAGAAAATTATCAAAATTACTTTAACATATGTATATTTCTATCAAAGAGATTAAACAGATGGTGACTTTTTATTTCAAAGCTCTGGATTTTTTAAAACTGAAATATAGTTGATTTACAGTATTGTGTGAGTTTCAGTTGTACAGCAAAGTGATTCAGTTATACTATATATATTATTTTTTCAGACTATTTTCCACTATAGGTTATTACAAAACAATAGATCTTTTACCTCCTAGGTTAAATTTATTCCTAGGTATTTTATTATTTTTGATGCAATTGTGGAATTGCTTTCTTAATTTCTCTTTCTAGTAATCTGTTATTATAGTTCATAGACATGGAACTGATTTTTGGTGAGAAGTTTGAAGCTTTCCAACCAAGATTAGGAACAAGGCAAGGAGATCCTCTCTCATCACTGTTTTTAAAAACTGTATGGAATTCCTAGCGAGTGCAATAAGACAAGGAAAGGAAATAAAAGATATACAGATTGGGAAGGAAGAAATAAAACTGCCTTTATACACACATAACATGATCGTCTAGGTAGAAAACACAAAACAACAACAAAAAAACTTCTAGAACTAGTAATTGATTACAGCAAAATAGCACGATACAAGGTTAATAAACAAAAATCAACTGCATTCCTATATATCAGGCAATAAACGGGTGGAATCTGAAATTTAAAACACAGTACCATTTACGTAACTGCCCCCAAAATGAAATAGTTAGGTATAAATCTAACAAAATATATAGAAGATCTACATGAGGAAATCTACAAAACTCTGGTGAAAGAAGTCAAAGGGCTAAACGTGGAGAGATGTACCATGTTCATGGACAGGAAGACTCAGTATTGCCACGATATTAATTCTTCCCAGCTTGATCTATAGATTCATAATGCTTCCCCAGACAAAATCCCCACAAGTTATTTTTCTGTATATTGACCAATTGATCCTAAAGTGTTTATGGAGTGGATAAAGACCCAGAACAGCTAACACAATACTGAAGAAAGTTGGAGGACTTATGTGTGTAACTTCAAGACTTACCATAAAGTTACAATAATCAAAACAATATGGTACTGGCAAAGGAATGGACATATACATAAATGAAATAGAATAGAAAGCCCAGACACAGGCTCACTTAAATACAGTCAACTAATGTTTGATAGAAAAAAAAAGCAAAGGTAAAACAATGGAGAAAAGACAGTTTTGTTTTGTTTTAAATTTTCAACAAGTGACACTGGAACAACTGAACACCCACAGACAAAAAAATAAATCTAGACACAGACCTTACACCTTTCACAAAAACTAATTCAAAAAGACCTCAATAAGACACAAAACCATAAAACTCTTAAAATAGAGCATAGGAGAAAATATAGACGACCTTGGGTTTGGTGATGCCTTTCTTTAGCTATAAGAGCAAATGTAAAATCCATGAAAAAAATAATTGATAAGCTTGACTTCACTGAAATTAAAATTTTCTGCCAAGAGAATGAAAAGAAAAGCCACAGACGTGGGAGAAAATATTGGCAAAAAACATACTATTGATAAGGGATTATTAAGCAAAATATACAAAGAACTCTTAAAAATCAACAATAAGAAAACAAAAAACTGATTTAAAAATGGACACCTTACCAGAAAGATATATAGATGGCAAATAAGCATATGAAAAGACACTCCACATCATATGTCATCAGGGCAAGGCAAATATAAAGAAGAAGATATCACTACACACCTAATGCTGCTGCTGCTGCTAAGTCACTTCAGTCGTGTCCGACTCTGTGCGACCCCATAGATGGCAGCCCACCAGGCTCCCCCATCCCTGGGATTCTCCAGGCAAGAACACTGGACACACCTAATAGAGTAGCAAAAATCCAGAATACTGATAACACCAAATGATGTTATATAAATTCCTGTTATATAACAGGAATTTCCTTTCTTGCTGGTAGGAATGCAAAATGGTATGGCTTCTTTCATAGACTTTATACTTTCTTACAAAATTACTCATACTCTGTTTTACCATAGGATCCAGTAATTGCACTCCATTGTGTTTACCCAAATGAGTTGAAAAGTTATGTCCACACGCAAACCTGTACACAAAGGTTTACAGCAGCTTTACTAAAAATTGCCAAAGCCTGGATGCAACTGACACGTCCATTAGCTGGTGAATTAATATATAAACTTTGGTACCTCCAGACAATAGACTATGACTCAGCACTAAGATGAGGTAAGTATCAAGCCACGAACAGACATCGAACTTTGTGAAAGTCACTATCCTGAAAAGGCTATATATTATACAATTCCAACCACAGGACACCATAGAGAATACAAAACTATAGAGGCAATTTTAAAAAAACTGGTGATTGCCAGGGGCTAGGGAGCAGTGAGAGATGAATAGGTAGAGCACAGAGAATTCAAAGGGTAGTGAAACTCTTCTGCATACTATAATGGTGGATACACATTTTAAATTTATCCAAACCCAGAGAATGAACACCACCATGCCATGAGTGAACCCCTATGACAATGGTATGTCAGTGGAGGCTCATCTGTTGTAATAATGTACCACATTAGTGGGAGGATGTCCATAGTGTAGAAGGAGGTGCATGTATGAGGACAAGGGATACATGGGTACCTTGTATTTTCCACTCAATTTTGCTGTGAACCTAAAATTAGTCTTAAAAAAAAAATCAAGTTTATTAAATTCCTAAAAAGCAATCATGTTCTCTTCTCTCTGGAGACTCTTACTCAAAGAAATAAATACCAAGCAACCACATAAAGGCAATAGCCTTCAGAGACTCAGAGACTCAAAAGGTAAAGACTGAGGACTGGATTTAAAAATTGCTTTCCTCATACATCAATAAACCGATTTCTTTCAACTTTTAAAAACTGTTCAGTGCAATTAAAATGTCTGCTCTTTAATACAGATTTACACACAGGAAATTAAAAGCTTAAACATAATTTCAAATCCTCTAAAGTTGCTTTAAAGTCACTGAGTAAAATTCTAAAAACAGCAAAATACCTATCTTTTTAGTGAATATGGGAGAAGAACTTTAAATTTTATATGTAAAAACAACCTTAATCATGCAATTTCCAAATAAGCTGAATAAAGTAAATGATCAGAATATTCCAGAAATTCAATTATTTATTTTAAAGAACAAAACAAAAAAATTCATTATACATGTCTAAATTTTAATTTGCAGCTAATTTCTAACCTGAATAATGTATCAGTAAGTATTGTTCTCCAAGGATAACAAAAATCAATAATCCTTAACAAAGATAATAAAGAATAATAATTCTTAACAAGGATGAGAAAAAAGAAAAATCCCAGTGTATACAAGATCAAATTCCTAAGACAAAATTTTTC